CACTGTAGAGAAATGCTTTCAAAAATGCATGCCTACGCTCTAATTGTCAAACGATTCCCATATTGTATAAGCACTGATTGTTCAATATTTCAAGCTGAAACACACAGGTATGCCCTATCGTTCAACGTCAGTGAAATCATGCAATACTGTTAGATCATACGATCTCTTCCCGAAAATGTGCATGATGTTTCCCTTGCTTGACAATTCACCGGTAGAAATATAATTATTTTATTAAATAAGCTTTTGTTTGTGATGAACGACAGAAAGGACAAACCTGATTGTCACGTGAAACTACTATTCATTTATGGCGAACAATGTAAGGCCCCGAAAAGTACAACCACGCCACAAACACTTGACCAACGTAGTCATGGACTAAATCCCATTGATTAGAGATTGTTGTAACATGATTTGTTTGCCACGCAGTGTGAAAATAAACCGGTGTAAAAATGTAATAGTGCAGTTTTCTGTGACATTGCGGAACAAAAGGAACAGTAACAAAAAACAAATCAACAGCATACGAATGCAGTCAAAAGCGAATATCTGTTTAGTAGCGCAATCCATTGGCAGGTTGCAAAGGGGGTGGGGGGGAGAGGCTAAGTTGTCCACGTAATAAAAAGGCAGGGTCGATCATTCGAGCTGTCAGTCGTAGATGAACCAACCGTAGTTGAATAGGGCCCAGTGAGACAGATACATAGAAACCATGGCATACGGGATAGTTTAAACCCCGGGAAGCAGGTCACACCCGTCGTAAATGACAACTGGTTACTAGTCGCACTGAGGAATGTGTGATATGCAATGAATTACGGATAGAAACTGAACGATATCCGCACACACACACACACACATACTAAATGGAAGAACAAACGAGTAAGTTGATTGTTTGGTAAATCCGTGCGAATCGAACACACACACACAGGCCGGGAGACAAAAAGGTAAGACAGAAGAGAATGCACGTTCGTCTTACCACTCACTACTCTGAACGAGTACCAACATTGGCGGCTACACCTGAACAGCTCAGAAGCCGAACGCACCTGCCCCCCCCCTGAATTTTGAAAGTAAACCCATGTTGGTTGGAAATCGTCGCGGCTCAAGTCCCGTTCTTTAGACAACAGAGCAATCACGTTAACGCGTACAGTTGACTAACATACTGAACAATTTTCATGCATGAACCTATGCTTTAGAAGAGATCAAGCTTAGAGTTCGTTGAGTGTCATCCTGAATATATAATAAGAAACTATCAGAGATGAACCGAAGTGTGGATGAACTAGAATCGCAGCCTCGATCATAAACGATCAAATAGTCGTCTATATCAGTGGTAAAGAAGACTTGTCCAGACTAGGTTGAGTTAACCCGGTCAATGAAATACTACCAACTATCTAAAAAGAAAAAGTGACCTGGTTTTGGGGGCTCTGCTGAATCACGTGACCGATAGAATAATGCATTAGTAACCTGAATAACTATTTGAACAGTACCGCCCGGTAGACTGCCTTCGTCGGCGGTTTCAGCTTTCATCAATTTTTCACTATGGATTTTTTGTACGGTGGGTGGGGGTGTAAGCAGAAAACAGAGAAATTTCAATTGTCTTCTATCGGGTTCCTCGACCGTGTAGCGAAAGTTGGGCATTTTTTGTGTTGGCTACAGTGTAAAGGAATCTGTCAGGTTCCAGAAATCAAAGGTAGGTTGGACAATGCTACACATGTGTGCAGGCATAGTCAACGATGTAGGTAACTGTATTCAGAACACGAAATGTCAGAGTAAAAAAGTTCAGTGATTAAACAGGTAACGTGGACGAGAATATGTTTTTGGTAAGTACATTTTCACCCTAACACTACTTTCCCTATTCCGATCTCTTCACTACTTATTTGGCCAAACAAACAGCAAACAAAACCGGTGCCCTAAGGTGCATGGTTAATGGTTGTATAAACTGCATTGAAACTGCTCCAACGAAGGGTCAAGGAACCGTGGATATCACAGATAGAAAGCAAGTATGATGTGCACTTGACCAGGAGACCGCTGATCTTTGGTTTGTTTACGGCGAAATTTACTTAGCAATCTTCCACTAGCTCCTAGTAATAGTAATATTCATTCAATTCAATTTGTGAAAAGGGATGAACTCGGTCTATTGAATCATTAGACAGACATCCAGTGGGTCGATCGATTAAAGGTTTGCGTGCTAGACATTAATTACCAGTGGAACGAGTGTTTACATGTGTTTTATTTAGATTTGTGGTAAACGTAACCGTTCAGTGAGTTGTATGATCGATTTCTAACTAGGAAAACCGATTAAATTCTGTTCACTGCTATCAGTGCTACCGGTGTGGCTTCGTAGCTCAGCTGGTAGAGCGTGCAAAAGCGTAGGCGGCATCCATGCGTGGGTTCTAATCCCACCGAGGCTACTGAACTTTTCACAATCTGGACATAAAAAATGCAATCTGCCAGATAACAATTTGAACTATATGCATTTGTAAACGAAGCTCAAGCTTCGAGAAGCGTAAACTAGTCTTCTTCATCGTGTATATAATCTACCGAATCTGGTGGTCTTTGACGTATTCAACAGAATTCTAGATAAACCAAGTTTCCCATTCCAGTAATATGAGCAGCATGAGTAAAGTAAGCTTCGTAGGCCGTTATACAGCCAAACTATTGCTCACCAGCTGAATGCTCTCTCCTTTCAGATAAGAAGACTGCGTCATTTCTGTTCTGATCTGTCAGTGATAGGAGCATTTATCCAACAATGTGTCCTTCCTATACCATTTACTGGTCCGGTGAAGGCTGACGTAAAGTTGCTGTGGCGTGGCCTCACATAGATCAGCCGTATTTCCTAAGTTCCGTTATCAGATTAGAAAGACAATATTTGCGATGCTCATATTAGATGCGTGCTTGAGGTTTTCTCACAATGTTCTATCTGATTGCATCCAATCTTTACACATTGACCTGTGTGCATGCAAATCCAACTACTCCACCGGTTCCAACCAAAATCTCATCCCATCTAGAATATTAGTCTGCAAAAACTCTTCGATACCCTTCTTCTTCTGGACACTGACCGATGAGGAGAGCGTTTGTTCTGAGCTTTTTAATACATTTAGTAGTCAAATTAACAGTTTTGTACACTCGATGTTCCAGGGACTTTCTTTTCTTTTTTTTTCCAGCATTGTGACGATGGTTTCCTTTTAGGAAAAAACCTTTTTAAAACTGGTGAAAGCTTCATTCCAAATAGAATTACCAATGATCGAGTTTCCTAGTTCTTCTCTAGATGCTAGATCATAATTTTTCGGGTGTTTATCGGTACGACCGAATGCATTTTTTATTTGTCAACCGAGTAAATAAACTGGTGATGAGTGGTGCTAGAAATAGTCGAGCCTCGATCTGGGAATGAGCCCCACAGTCGTTATCGGCTGCACTGCGGTTCACATACCCATTTGATTCGGGATAGCTCAACCACGGGCGAGCATATAACACACGAGAATTTCCGTTTCACTACCTCTGCCGTGTACGCGTGCATTTCAGTCAGACTATTAGTCGCCGCGGAACAAGACACACATACACACAAACACACGAGAAAAACACTGTAACCCAGTACGAGCCGTCTATTCACGTCGGTGGTGTACAGTACTGTACTGTACCGTACATGAATGATGAAAAGACCGATGGGTAAATACCAGCGCAATCAACAGAGCAGATATTTTTGTGTTGCAGTTCGGAAAACTAATTACTAATGGGATTGTCTAAAAACAAGTACACTCAGTACAGGTGCTCGCGATGAAAGAACGAAAATATGCCACCGCATCGATTTCTGGGTACCATAACCGTTGACATTTCCTGCACAATGGAATTCCAGTCCAAATGTTTCCCGTTTAGTGTTCACACACACACACACACACACACACACACACACACACGCACACACTTAGGGGGAACCTAGCCGCAGCAGCATTTGAGGTTCGGTTTCGAGAATAGGCTACAGAGAACGCATTGAGATTCAGTGCTTCCTAACCGCTTAGTTTTGGTTTAACGGGGGAGATAACTAAATTTGACTCGCTCTGCCCCGCCATCCCCACAATCTACAAACAATCAATGTATACAGAATGAGAATAGTACGATCCTGTCATAGCCACTCTCAGCAGAACAGTACAGTAAGATGGGATTATAATGCATATCATTGTGAAATTCTCTATGAACCCAATAGGTATGCTTTAGCTGAAAATCATTTCAAAGCTTCGATCAAGGGAAGACACGTGCAGAGTTCACATTGTAATGAACTACGTTGTAGCCAACTGTCCTTAACAACTCTAGAAGAGCAGTAATTTATCATGAGATGAACAAATTCTTCTACAGTTCAAAACTGAAATAGTATGATAGTAATAGTATACGACAACGAATAACTGGAAATTGTACTTGAGTCCGAGTGGACGTGAATGAAACAAAACAATTTTAGTAGATAGTATAATTTATATAATCTTTTTCACATTTCATTGTTGACCAGGAAATCCAATTAACGGGCTGTCATAGTAAAACACAAATAGAAAAAAAGATGCGGACGTTTGGAATCCAAACACAATCCGTTTGTGCAGGATGGTGGGATAGTT